TGGCCACTTCCAATTCCGGGTTCGCCAGAAGAAATTATCTTGTGTGGCATTCCTAGGCCCAGTCACAGGATACTATCCAGGCTATTTGGCAGACCCATGCTTGGCAGATCACTGACACCAGCTTCAACCACTCGTACACGGATGCTCCCAGAACCACTCATTTTCCGGGGCACCTTCCCGAACTTCCGGTTCAGCTTCCAAGCACCCAGTAACAATGAGTACATGCGAATGCACTAACCATCGAACGGGTGTCACATACGCACGAACTTAATAATACACATCAATATGTAACTCGCACATAAACTAAATAACTCACAAACCAATAGGCACGTACGCGGTCAAACAAATCAAATTTAATTCACTCAACACAAAGTAATTCGGATATGAGAAGCCCCATACGGCTACTCTCACCTTTCAGTTCTAAAAACCAAGCATTTCGTTCGGTTAAATCAGTGTTCAAAGCCCTACACAAGTTATATGCACCAACACTGCCATCTACTGTCAAAAATTGCAAACTACATAAAAAGCCCAACTGTTAAACTATTGTTGTTATAGGTGGATTACACTGGTGCAAGCAGGATATTTATTTATGGCATGATATATGGAATTACGTATGAAAATCTATGAATTATGTTTTAAAATTAATGTGGTGTTGGCTCTAATCACATAGAGAGTGTCACGTAGTCCTAATGTTGGTTAATAATACATAAATATGGTTAATCATTCAGAAATGTGTCTCATGTATACCAAAGTACGCTCGTATTGTCATTATGTCCTTTCAGAATTCAGATCAATACTTTGTCGCTTACCAACCTGTCCCATTGATTTTTGTACATGGTACATCAGTCTTCAGTACCTGTTCAAGTGGGTACGCTAGCATCTACCCGAATACGTGGTCTGTACCACAAATATACAAACCCTTTAAGTTCTGTTCCGTATTATACCCGTTTCTGGTATCTACATAACATGGTCACTAGGGTATAATACACACAATTCAAATTGTTTACATTAAATTATCCTATACAAACATAGAGGTATCAGTAAATAAAACAACCTAGATATTAATACGTGTAAGCCAACATACACCTACAGCTATATGCATACATAGCTCTATAACTTAAAAGACCATACTACGTGTGATCGGGTTATACTATAATTGGAGTCTAAACAATATACGTAACTTCACATTAATATCAAATGTCTGCACTCAGTACAAAGAATTTCATACATACAAACAAACTACTTACTGGGTACATATAGTTAATTATATAATACAGTCACACCTATAATGTGAAACTTAAGCGTAAGCTTCATTTCAATCCATTAATCGATTTGGTCCAGAAGTAGCACGCATAGTTACAACACCTTAAGAGGAGATTCTGTAGACCTAAGTATGTATCAATGTTAACTACTATTAATCAGTTATACATTCATGTTGAAGTTACCAACCACCGATTTGGTTATAAACAGGTTGTTCATAATAAAATCAGATATCCTGTCAAGTCATAAGACCCCGTAAAAAATTTAACAGGTATGCCATATCCTTTATACCTTTTACCCCACGCATTGTTAACTGGCAGTTAGGATACTGGAGTGGCCCCATATACAGGTTAAAGTACTTTTGAAGTTTCCGCGAGACCAACACCCATCCTCACATGGAGGTATTTACGACCATGGGTCTAAATCATAGCTACAGTCTCGCAACACTCCGCTAGAGGTTTAGTGAGGGCTCCACCATCCGTGTCCCTTTACTATATTCTCAAGTTCCCTAGAGGCCTACACCACTGCCTCCATTTTAATGGCAAAGCACAGGGCCAACTCATAGACAGCCCCTCTATCAGCCACTTGGCAATAAGCAGGGCCTCACCATCTCACAAAGTAGCTCATTTCTTCGCCACCTGGCATTTAAAGAGAGGCCAGTTAAGGCAAATCACAAATAACTATATCATTACAAATCTCACGTTTTAATTTCATTGTAGCATGTCTCACATATCAGACCAAAGAGAAGATTTCTCCCTACCCAGTACGTCAGCTAGACCACCAACTCCAACTACTGCTCTCACATTAGGTGAAAATCAAGCCTCTACAAGCCCCTGTTCCTTGAGATCATGGACGATTCCAAAGATCACGTAAGGCGTAGGGGGATACCATATCCTGCCACTGCCAGAAAGGCAGAACTGTATAGAATCATGATGACAACTTCGGATAATCCACAGCCAGGGACCAGTACGCCTGAAAACATTAATGACACCCTGACAGGAATACAGGCCAGATTGGGTGGCGATATCCGAGATCTTTTGTGACAGGCCAGAAGTGCTGCTGGGCCTACTGAGCACTCCCTTCTTGGTTACACAGACTCCTCGGAGGAACTATCCCAAGACGAAGATCATCTGCCCCCGAGACCAAAAGCTGTCACTGCAGCACACTGACTCCTCTCCGGTCACAACAGCACTGCTGAAGGTTTTGCTAGCTGACCTGCAGGCCACACTGCAAACAGACGTGGTGGTGATACGATCAGACCTCTCGGGCCTCACGGGTCGGCTCCAAGCGATGGAACAAATCACGAGCGACCACACACCACGACTCACAACCCTGGAGAAATCAGCCCAGGAGGTAGAGCACACAAAGGAGGCCCAAGAAAGGTGAATAGCGGCTCTTGAAGACGCACAACCAAAAAATAACCTCAAGATCAGAGGTATTTCAGATTAAATCGAAGCAGCTAAGTTGCCTCATCTCCTAAGAAGACTCCTCACAGAGTTACTCACCCCTAAGCAAGCCAAGAAGGTACAGCTGGAGGGCTTCTTCAGGCTCCCAAAACCAGCTAGAGCACCCGCAACAGTGACACGTGATGTGGTGGCCCAGTTTGAATCTGGCTGTGACACCGCAGCAGCCAAGGAGAAATGCCCTCTCAACTTTGAATCCATGCAACTCACCTTCTTCGACGACCTGTCCTCTGGCACAGTGGCTTGGAGACAATCCCTTCGCCCTCTCACCACGATCCTGCGGACACATAACATCCGCTACCGATGGACACTAACTCGCACACTATATGTGTCCCACGGTGACACCCAGCTCCCCGTCCGAGACATCACGGCTGCGGAAGCCACGTTGAGAACTCTGGGCCTGCCACAGGACTCGCTTCCCAGGGCCATACATGCAGCTTCCTCCCATAATTGGGATCCATCTAGCCTGTTCATCCCAAGGCGAGCCACCGCTGACCTGCACGCAAGAAGTAACCTGGAGGCTTAGCAGTCCAAGAAGACATTTGGCTCCATCTTCCCACTGACTCACAGCCGATAGAATCTTTCAGTTTTTCCCCCACTCACATAATGGAA